ATAGTTTGAATAAATTTGTTAAAATTAGTCCAAATTTTGTTGTTAGAATGATAAAAATTTTCTCAATTATTTTCGTATGAATTTTTTCCTTAAAGATATTTCTAAAATAAGAAAAGTGTTGCGCAGAGATAGTTTCTTAGCTTAAGAAAATTTTCTTACATTGTACCAAATTTTCTTAAAGAAAATGTTCATAACAAAAACAATTTTGTAAAGAAATTTTTCTTAATATAAAAAAATTTCTTATTTCTCAAGGAAATATTTCTTAAGATAATAGAAAGATCTGTTTTATTTTAAAAAAGTGTTACTAAGACAAGGTGAATATACCCAAAAAAACAAAACAAATTTAAGGGTGTTTGGTGATATGTACCGAGACTTAAGCGAAGAATTATTTAACGCAGCAAAAAATCATTTTCTTTTTTTCTGGTGTCTTCGTGATGAGTGCAAAAATGTGTACAACATTCTGGGGTCTTCCAGAGAAGTGCAAAGGTGTACAAAATTGTGGGGTACGTCTTCCTGCAAGGAGTGCAAAAATGTGTGCAACATTCTAGGGTCTTCCTAAGGACGTATATATGCGTAACTTTTCGTCCCACGGTAGCGTTGCCATTCTTATGACGTGCGAGGTATTTTCTCGGCTTCTCGACTCATCTTTGAATCAGGTATTTTCTCGGCTTCTCGACGAAATAGAAGCAGCTGCAATGTGAGAGTTATTTTCTAGTGTAAAAGAACGGCAACTTAACCCGATGACGACCCCTTAAAAACTCATTTAAATGGAAAATTTTCATCATTTGAAGAACATTTTTTAAATTTTCTTGTAAAAACATTGGGAAAATTAAATTCACTTATTTTTTGAAAAATATTTTCTCAAGAATCGAATGTATTAGATAAGTAGAATATTTAAACATAATTTCTTGTAATAGTTTGAATAAATTTGTTGAAATTAGTCCAAATTTTGTTATTAGAATAATAACAATTTTTTTAATTATTTTCTTAAGAATTTTTTCCTTAAAGATATTCCTAAAATAAGAAAAGTGTTCCGCAGATATAATTTCTTAGTTTAAGAAAATGTTCTTACATTAGGCCAAATTTTATTAAAGAAATGCTCATAACGAAAAAAAATTTGTAAAGAAATTTTTCTTAATAAAAGGTAAATTTCTTATTTCTCAAGAAAATATTTCTTAAGATAATAGAAAGATTTGTTTTATATTAAAAAAATGTTACTAAGACAAGGTGAATATACCAAAACAAACCCTACAACCAAATCGAGGGTGTTTGGTGATATGTACCGAGACTTAAGCGAATAATTATTTAACGGAGCAAAAAATCACTTTCTTTTTTAAAGAAACAAAAATCATTTTAAGAATTTTTTTGAAAATGAGTTCAAATTTTCTTCCAAAAACATTTGCTTAACCAATCATCTAAAAATGTGCACATCATTCTAGGATCTGAATTAATAGTTAGACATTGAATCTCAGATAGGACACGTTACCCACCTTCATTGATGTTAGAGAAAATATTTCGATATCCTTGTTATGATTTGAACAAAATCCCTTGCAGTACTTAAAGAAAAAATAAAATTTATTTAATGCATGTGCAATATAATAATGTGTACAACGTTAATTCTGGTGTCTTCCTGATGAGTGCTAAATGTGTACAACATTCTGTGGTTTTCCAGAGAAGTGCAAACGGTTTACAAAATTGTGGTACGTCTTACTGCAAGGAGTTAAAAATGTGTACAACATTCTGGGGTCTTCCTAAGGAGGTATATATGCATAACTTTTCATACCACGGTAGCGTGGCTATTCTTGTGACGCGCGCAAATGAGGTATTTTCTCGGCGATATAAAAGCAGCTGCAATGTGAAAGTATACTAGAAAATATTCGAGTGTAAAAGAACGGCAACTTAACCCGACGACGACCCCTTTAAAACTCCCTCAAATAGAAAATGTTCATCATTTGAAGAAAATTTTCTGAAATTTTCTTGTAAAAACATCGGGAAAATTAATCTTACTTATTTTTGAAAAAATTTTTTTAAGAATGTATTAGATAGGTAGAATATTTAAGATAATTTCTTGTATATAGTTTGAATAAATTTGTTAAAATTAGTTCAAATTTTTTTTTGTTAGAATACTGAAAATTTTCCTAATTATTTTCTTAAGAATTTTTTCCTTAAAAAATTCCTAAAATAAGAAAAGTGTTGCGCGGAGATAATTTTTTAGTGTAAGAAAATTTTCTTACATTAGCCCAAATTTTCTTAGAGAAAAGTTGATAACATGAAAAATTTTAATATAAAGAAAATTTCTTATTGATCAAGAATATATTTCTTAAGATAAAAAAAGATATGTTTTATAATAAAAGTTTTAATAGGACAAGGTGAATATACCTGAAAAAAACCAACAACAAAATCGAGGGTGTTTGGTGATATGTTCCGAGACGTGAATAATTATTTAGCAGCAAAAAATCACTTTCTCTTTTAAAGAAACAAAAATAATTTTAAGAATTTTTCAAAATAAGTTCAAATTTCCTTGGGAGAACAATTGATTGACCAATCATGTAAAAATTTGCACATATTCTAGGATCCTCATTACTTGTTTGAGATTGATCTCAGATAGGACACGTTAATCTGCATTGATATTAGAGCTAACCATATATGAACGATAGTTATAAACACAATAACCAAACAAATTTTTAAAGTGATAGAATTGCCTGTATTTAAATCTAAATATTACGAGGAGTCACCTTCTCCAATAATTTTTAATTGCCGTTGATTTTCACACTGTGTTAGTTTGTGCTACTGAAGGAAACAAATGTGAGATATATTGGGGATGCACTGCGAGCTGTGAACACGCCCTTGCCCCATCCCCGATCTATATAGTTTAAATCCATCAATGTTCTTACTAAGAAAATTTACCAAAAAAAAATAAGAAAATGTTAAGACATCTAGGCTTTTTAGCAAATAAAGACCAGAACGATGGTTGTGCAAAAGCTATATCTATAAAGGCTTGCTGGAAACTAGCACTTCTTAAAGAGCAGTTTCGTGGGTGTGAAGAATAGAAATAACAGCAGGCAATGAGGAACGATGAGTGGTTGGCATTATAGGACCATACGTTTGCTAGGGATAGATCGCCAGATGGGACCTTAGAATTTATATGTCCAGACATCGCGTTTGAGGATAAGCGGACAATGGAAGGAATAACGTGTTGAGGTATAAGAATCTGCTTAAAACCGAACATCCAAAACTAAGTGAGAAACGACAGAAATAAGTAAAGTTAGTGATGGAACAGATGAAATTAAGAAGATGGCAAAAATGAAAAATAATACCCGTTGTAGTAAGTGTGACAGGGATTGTGACTAGGGATGGGATGAATGGGATGAACTAAAGTATATCCAGCTGATCTGAGATCATGAGTGTCGAAGTCATATGCAATGAAGGAAATGATAATTCAGTTTTGTCGAAGATCTGGTTTCTGATTGGTTGATTTTTATACTAAGATAAGCTGGATACCAGGAATTGGTGAAGGGCAATGAAGAGATGCAGAAGATGGTGTATGCAATGCTCTCCCCAGACCCATCCAGGTAAATTGCAGGGAAAATTTGTAACAAGCTTCAATAGACATCATTGCAGCTGCCCAAGAAGTATTATATCGGCTATTGCTGAACATATTAGAGTATACAAAAGTAATTTGCTAGTGCTATAACACATACATTTGGTTATAAAAACACAATTTGATATAAATTGTATTGTGAATTTAATATAAATTGTGTAGGGCTTGTTAATTTATCCAAGGAAGAGTCAGAAGTGCAATTTATCACGAAATACGCCGAATCTTAACATTTTGGTTGTGGAGGCACGAGGCTTACAAACAGAAGACCACTGAGCTGTATTATAATTATAATATAGCTCAGTGCAGATGACAGAGCAGTGAACTGGGACAGAGAGAGAGCAATGGGACAATGGGGCCACCAGTGAGCTCTCTCTCTCTCTCTAGGTGAAAAAAGGGTGCTTTAGTAACCTTTTCTCTCTAACGATATTATTGGTCGATAATTTTGCAGAAAAGTTTCGTTTTTTTTAAAAAAATTGAAATTTCATGTCATTTTGTGCTTCATAGAAAAAATTGGGCAGTTTCATTACTGGAAAAGTTTCTGTGCCCTTAAGAACACAATGGAGGTTACAAAAGATCCTTGTGCAGTGCTTACGCCTTAAATGAATAAAATATCGATTTGTTTGCATGGAATTGTAATAAATACACTATATAAGACATTTTAGTTGATTATCTTCATAAGCACTACCCTTTATTATCGTTTTTCTGTTTTATTCAAATTTTCAAGTGGGAATATTATGAACCTTTCCCAGGCTGACATCCCATTTTTATGAAATTGAAAATTGATATACGAAATAGGGTTCTACTACTAAATTTCATCAAAATTTGACAAAATTTGGACTGAATGTCAGAGTTGGTTATTTATAAAAGGCATTAAAATTTGGGCCTGATCAGATATTTCCTTCCTATGATTTTTTAATTGTTTTTGGCCAACTGCAAGGTTACAAAAGATCCCTATTGCAAGAAAATCAAAGTTTTTCATAAATCTGCATTTAACAAACCAGTAAAAATTGCCTTAAGCCTACCCGAGTGATTCATCCATTTCTTTCTTAAATCATTTTTTTTCGACAGAATTTCTGAAATTTTGGCAATCCTTTATAAACCTTGCATATCAGAACAAAGCTCTTGGGCGAAACAATGAATGCAAGCTCATTTATTTTATTTTTTAATATCTTAAAAACTCGGAAAACGATTGGAACTGGTTTTTAAATAGAAATCCGCCTTTTCACTGATCTACTTAATGACAGCTCAGGGGATATGCTTTGTTTTTTTTAAAATTCGGATAGACTTGTATCCCCAATACTTTTCTAAAAAAAATTAGTAATTAAAATTACAAAGACAGAAGGCAGAAATGGCAAAGGCAGAAATGGTTTTTTCGTTCCCAGTTCCAGACCCCCTTTACGCGTGGTTTGCTCGCGATATTTGCTAATCAGTATTGTTGCTTGGACTGTGTATCTTTCGGTGGTTTTCTTCAGTTTTTTTCGTATCTTTGTGATTTGGCGTGTACAGAGGAAGATCCTAGTTGTATCTAAAAGTGTGCAGCTAAGGTAAGACGATTTTGACTACCCGTAGTATTTTAATTATTTTGTTTATCATAGCCGAGCATAGCGTCGCCAGACGCCAGTCAAACCTAACACTTAAATATAACAGGAAATATTGTAGATCGTTTCTAAATTCAAGTGAATAAAAGTTACACTGAGTTTAGCATCCGATTACACTACGTTTTAGTTTTATTTTATATATCTGTGATCTACACATTAAAATCATTGTGCATGACTGCTTTACATTAATTTCAAATGTGCATCAGTGAATTTCACACTTCTGTGATTCCTTATGGTTTTATGGTATCAATTATCAAGTCACAATGGCACTAAAAATATTCAAAATATATCCCAGCTTGTTCTATAATATCTACACATGATTCTATAATATTGACTGTTTGCTTACAATATTCTATAATATTGACTGTTTGCTTACATGATCTATAATATTGATTTGTTTGCTTACATCATTCTATAATATTGACTGTTTGCTTACATGATTCAATAATATTGACTGTTTGCTTACATGATTCTATAAAATTGACTGTTTGCTTACATGATTCTATAATATTGACTGCTTGCTTACATGATTCTATAATATTGACCGTTTGCTTACATATTCTATAATATTGACTGTTTGCTTACATGATTCTATAATATTGACTGTTTGCTTACATGATTCTATAATATTGACTTTGCTTACATGGTTCTATAATATGGAGTTTGGTTACATGATTCTATAATATTGACTTGTTTGCTTACATGATTCAATAATATTGACTGTTTGCTTACATGATTCTATAATATTGACTGTTTGCTCACATGATTCTATAATATTGATTTGTTTGCTTACATGATTCTATAATATTGACTGTTTGCTTACATGATTTATAATATTGACTGTTTGCTTACATGATTCTATAATATTGACTGTTTGCTTACATGATTCTATAATATTGACTGTTTGCTTACATGATTCTATAATATTGATTTGTTTGCTTACATGATTCTATAATATTTACCGTTTGCTTACAATATTCTATAATATTGACTGTTTGCTAACATGATTCTATAATATTGACTGTTTGCTTACATGATTCTATAATATTAACTTTTTGCTTACATGGTTCTATAATATTGAGTTTGCTTACATGATTCTATATATTGACTGTTTGCTTACATGATTCATAATATTGACTGTTTGCTTACATGATTCTATAATATTGATGTTTGCTTACATGATATAAAATTGACTGTTTGCTTACATGATTCTATAATATTGACTGTTTGCTTACATGATTCTTAATATTGACTGTTTGCTTACATGATTGAATAATATTGACTGTTTGCTTACATGATTCTATAATATTGACTGTTTGCTTACATGATTCAATAATATTGACTGTTTGCTTACATGATTCTATAATATTGATGTTTGCTTACATGATTCTATAATATTGACCGTTTCTACATGATTCTATAATATTGACCGTTTTGCTTACATTCTATAATATTGACTGTTTGCTTACATGATTCTATAATATTGACTTGTTTGCTTACATGATTCTATAATATTGACTGTTTGCTTACATGATTCTATAATATTGACTGTTTGCTTACATGATTCTATAATATTGACTGTTTGCTTACATGATTCTATAATATTGACTGTTTGCTTACATGATTCTATAATATTGACTGTTTGCTTACATGATTCTATAATATTGACTGTTTGCTTACATGATTCTATAATATTGACTGTTTGCTTACATGATTCTATAATATTGACTGTTTGCTTACATGATTCTATAATATTGACTGTTTGCAATGATTCTATAATATTGACTGTTTGCTTACATGATTCTATAATATTGACTGTTTGCTTACATGATTATAATATTGACTGTTTGCTTACATGATTCTATAATATTGACTGTTTGCTTACATGATTCTATAATATTGACTGTTTGCTTACATGATTCTATAATATTGACTGTTTGCTTACATGATTCTATAATATTGACTGTTTGCTTACATGATTCTATAATATTGACTGTTTGCTTACATGATTCTATAATATTGACTGTTTGCTTACATGATTCTATAATATTGACTGTTTGCTTACATGATTCTATAATATTGACTGTTTGCTTACATGATTCTATAATATTGACTGTTTGCTTACATGATTCTATAATATTGACTGTTTGCTTACATGATTCTATAATATTGACTGTTTGCTTACATGATTCTATAATATTGACTGTTTGCTTACATGATTCTATAATATTGACTGTTTGCTTACATGATTCTATAATATTGACTGTTTGCTTACATGATTCTATAATATTGACTGTTTGCTTACATGATTCTATAATATTGACTGTTTGCTTACATGATTCTAATATTGACTGTTTGCTTACATGATTCTATAATATTGACTGTTTGCTTACATGATTCTATAATATTGACTGTTTGCTTACATGATTCTATAATATTGACTGTTTGCTTACATGATTCTATAATATTGACTGTTTGCTTACATGATTCTATAATATTGACTGTTTGCTTACATGATTCTATAATATTGACTGTTTGCTTACATGATTCTATAATATTGACTGTTTGCTTACATGATTCTATAATATTGACTGTTTGCTTACATGATTCTATAATATTGACTGTTTGCTTACATGATTCTATAATATTGACTGTTTGCTTACATGATTCTATAATATTGACTGTTTGCTTACATGATTCTATAATATTGACTGTTTGCTTACATGATTCTATAATATTGACTGTTTGCTTACATGATTCTATAATATTGACTGTTTGCTTACATGATTCTATAATATTGACTGTTTGCTTACATGATTCTATAATATTGACTGTTTGCTTACATGATTCTATAATATTGACTGTTTGCTTACATGATTCTATAATATTGACTGTTTGCTTACATGATTCTATAATATTGACTGTTTGCTTACATGATTCTATATATTGACTGTTTGCTTACACATGATTCTATAATATTGACTGTTTGCTTACATGATTCTATAATATTGACTGTTTGCTTACATGATTCTATAATATTGACTGTTTGCTTACATGATTCTATAATATTGACTGTTTGCTTACATGATTCTATAATATTGACTGTTTGCTTACATGATTCTATAATATTGACTGTTTGCTTACATGATTCTATAATATTGACTGTTTGCTTACATGATTCTATAATATTGACTGTTTGCTTACATGATTCTATAATATTGACTGTTTGCTTACATGATTCTATAATATTGACTGTTTGCTTACATGATTCTAATATTGACTGTTTGCTTACATGATTCTATAATATGACTGTTTGCTTACATGATTCTATAATATGACTGTTTGCTTACATGATTCTATAATATTGACTGTTTGCTTACATGATTCTATAATATTGACTGTTTGCTTACATGATTCTATAATATTGACTGTTTGCTTACATGATTCTATAATATTGACTGTTTGCTTACATGATTCTATAATATTGACTGTTTGCTTACATGATTCTATAATATTGACTGTTTGCTTACATGATTCTATAATATTGACTGTTTGCTTACATGATTCTATAATATTGACTGTTTGCTTACATGATTCTATAATATTGACTGTTTGCTTACATGATTCTATAATATTGACTGTTTGCTTACATGATTCTATAATATTGACTGTTTGCTTACATGATTCTATAATATTGACTGTTTGCTTACATTCTATAATATTGACTGTTTGCTTACATGATTCTATAATATTGACTGTTTGCTTACATGATTTATAATATTGACTGTTTGCTTACATGATTCTATAATATTGACTGTTTGCTTACATGATTCTATAATATTGACTGTTTGCTTACATGATTCTATAATATTGACTGTTTGCTTACATGATTCTATAATATTGACTGTTTGCTTACATGATTCTATAATATTGACTGTTTGCTTACATGATTCTATAATATTGACTGTTTGCTTACATGATTCTATAATATTGACTGTTTGCTTACATGATTCTATAATATTGACTGTTTGCTTACATGATTCTATAATATTGACTGTTTGCTTACATGATTCTATAATATTGACTGTTTGCTTACATGATTCTATAATATTGACTGTTTGCTTACATGATTCTATAATATTGACTGTTTGCTTACATGATTCTATAATATTGACTGTTTGCTTACATGATTCTATAATATTGACTGTTTGCTTACATGATTCTATAATATTGACTGTTTGCTTACATGATTCTATAATATTGACTGTTTGCTTACATGATTCTATAATATTGACTGTTTGCTTACATGATTCTATAATATTGACTGTTTGCTTACATGATTCTATAATATTGACTTTTGCTTACATGATTCTATAATATTGATGTTTGCTTACATGATTCTATAATATTGACTGTTTGCTTACATGATTCTATAATATTGACTGTTTGCTTACATGATTCTATAATATTGACTGTTTGCTTACATGATTCTATAATATTGACTGTTTGCTTACATGATTCTATAATATTGACTGTTTGCTTACATGATTCTATAATATTGACTGTTTGCTTACATGATTCTATAATATTGACTGTTTGCTTACATGATTCTATAATATTGACTGTTTGCTTACATGATTCTATAATATTGACTGTTTGCTTACATGATTCTATAATATTGACTGTTTGCTTACATGATTCTATAATATTGACTGTTTGCTTACATGATTCTATAATATTGACTGTTTGCTTACATGATTCTATAATATTGACTGTTTGCTTACATGATTCTATAATATTGACTGTTTGCTTACATGATTCTATAATATTGACTGTTTGCTTACATGATTCTATAATATTGACTGTTTGCTTACATGATTCTATAATATTGACTGTTTGCTTACATGATTCTATAATATTGACTGTTTGCTTACATGATTCTATAATATTGACTGTTTGCTTACATGATTCTATAATATTGACTGTTTGCTTACATGATTCTATAATATTGACTGTTTGCTTACATGATTCTATAATATTGACTGTTTGCTTACATGATTCTATAATATTGACTTTTGCTTACATGATTCTATAATATTGACTGTTTGCTTACATGATTCTATAATATTGACTGTTTGCTTACATGATTCTATAATATTGACTGTTTGCTTACATGATTCTATAATATTGACTGTTTGCTTACATGATTCTATAATATTGACTGAATTTTGCTTACATGATTCTATAATATTGACTGTTTGCTTACATGATTCTATAATATGACTGTTTGCTTACATGATTCTATAATATTGACTGTTTGCTTACATGATTCTATAATATTGACTGTTTGCTTACATGATTCTATAATATTGACTGTTTGCTTACATGATTCTATAATATTGACTGTTTGCTTACATGATTCTATAATATTGACTGTTTGCTTACATGATTCTATAATATTGACTGTTTGCTTACATGATTCATAATATTGACTGTTTGCTTACATGATTCTATAATACTGTTTGCTTACATGATTCTATAATATTGACTGTTTGCTTACATGATTCTATAATATTGACTGTTTGCTTACATGATTCTATAATATTGACTGTTTGCTTACATGATTCTATAATATTGACTGTTTGCTTACATGATTCTATAATATTGACTGTTTGCTTACATGATTCTATAATATTGACTGTTTGCTTACATGATTCTATAATATTGACTGTTTGCTTACATGATTCTATAATATTGACTGTTTGCTTACATGATTCTATAATATTGACTGTTTGCTTACATGATTCTATAATATTGACTGTTTGCTTACATGATTCTATAATATTGACTGTTTGCTTACATGATTCTATAATATTGACTGTTTGCTTACATGATTCTATAATATTGACTGTTTGCTTACATGATTCTATAATATTGACTGTTTGCTTACATGATTCTATAATATTGACTGTTTGCTTACATGATTCTATAATATTGACTGTTTGCTTACATGATTCTATAATATTGACTGTTTGCTTACATGATTCTATAATATTGACTGTTTGCTTACATGATTCTATAATATTGACTGTTTGCTTACATGATTCTATAATATTGACTGTTTGCTTACATGATTCTATAATATTGACTGTTTGCTTACATCTATAATATGACTGTTTGCTTACATGATTCTATAATATTGACTGTTTGCTTACATGATTCTATAATATTGACTGTTTGCTTACATGATTCTATAATATTGACTGTTTGCTTACATGATTCTATAATATTGACTGTTTGCTTACATGATTCTATAATATTGACTGTTTGCTTACATGATTCTATAATATTGACTGTTTGCTTACATGATTCTATAATATTGACTGTTTGCTTACATGATTCTATAATATTGACTGTTTGCTTACATGATTCTATAATATGACTGTTTGCTTACATGATTCTATAATATGACTGTTTTGCTACTGATCATAATATTGACTGTTTGCTTACATGATTCTGTAATATGACTTTTGCTTACATGATTCTATAATATTGACTGTTTGCTTACATGATTCTATAATATTGACTGTTTGCTTACATGATTCTATAATATTGATTTGTTTGCTTACATGATTCTATAATATTGACCGTTTGCTTACAATATTCTATAATATTGACTGTTTGCTTACATGATTCTATAATATTGACTTTTTGCTTAAATGATTCTATAATATTAACTTTTTGCTTACATGGTTCTATAATATTGATTTGTTTGCTTACATGATTCTATAATATTGACTGTTTGGTTACATGATTCTATAATATTGATTGTTTCCTTACATCATTCTATAATATTCACTGTTTGCTTACATGATTCTATAATATTGACTGTTAGCTTACATGATTCTATAATATTGACTGTTTGCTTACATGATTCTATAATATTGACTGTTTGTTTACATGATTCTATAATATTGACTGTTTGCTTACATGATTTTATAATATTGACTGTTTGTGTTACATGATTCTATAATATTGACTGTTTGCTTACATGATTCTTTAATATTGACTTTTTGCTTACATTATTCGATAATATTGAATGTTTGCTTACATGATTCTATAATATTGAATGTTTGCTTACATGATTCGATAATATTGACTGTTTGCTTACATGATTCGATAATATTGAATGTTTGCTTACATGATTCGATAATATTGAATGTTTGCTTACATGATTCTATAATATTGAATGTTTGCTTACATGATTCTATAATATTGACTGTTTGCTTACATGATTCTATAATATTGAATGTTTGCTTACATGATTCGATAATATTGAATGTTTGCTTACATGATTCGATAATATTGACTGTTTGCTTACATGATTCTATAATATTGACTGTTTGCTTACATGATTCTTTAATATTGACTTTTTGCTTACATGATTCGATAATATTGAATGTTTGCTTACATGATTCTATAATATTGACTGTACTTTTGTGTTACATGATTCTATAATAATGACTATTGGCTTACATGATTCTTTAATATTGACTTTTTGCTTACATGATTCGATAATATTGAATGTTTGCTTACATGATTCTATAATATTGACTGTTTGCTTACATGATTCTATAATATTGAATGTTTGCTTACATGATTCGATAATATTGACTGTTTGCTTACATGATTCTATAATATTGAATGTTTGCTTACATGATTCTATAATATTGACTGTACTTTTGTTTTACATGATTCTATAATAATGACTGTTGGCTTACATGATTCTATAATATGGACTGTTTGCTTACATGATTCTATAATATTGACTGTTTGCTTACTTGGTTCTATAATAATGACTGTTAGCTTACATGATTCTATAATATGAACTGTTTGCTTACATGATTCTATAATATTGACTGTTTGCTTACATGATTCTATAATATTGACTGTTTGCTTACATGATTCTATAATATTGACTGTTTGCTTACATGATTCTATAATATTGACTGTTTGTTACATGATTCTATAATATTGACTGTTTGCTTACATGATTCTATAATATTGACTGTTTGCTTACATGATTCTATAATATTGACTGTTTGCTTACATGATTCTATAATATTGACTGTACTTTTGTGTTACATGATTCTATAATATTGACTGTTTGCTTACATGATACTATAATATTTACTGTTTTCTTACATGATTCTATTACCACCTATAATTATGGAGTTGCAAGAGTGGATGGCGTCACCTGATGGCAGCAAAAAGGATGAAAAAACGGTTTTGCAACATGGTTTTCAGCTTTATATCATGCTAAAAGCCATTAATGATTTAGAGAACATTCAGTCCCGGTTTGACCTGAAGTTAATACGTCAAGCATTTTTAAGTGTGCATGCATGTGAAACAGAAAAAGTATGAAGCTGGCACAATCAAGTCGTATTTGATGAGTATTCATTTGTCCTGTCCGACAAACCAGATACAATTAAATTCAGTTGGGTAGACGTAAGCTCAGCGCGAGAAAAAGTAAAGATGTGGTCTTCATCTTACAGGAGAGAATCAAGCACAAGGAAATGGCAAAAGCTTGAAGAAGATATGCTGAATCGTTTGACACCATCAAACATCAGGAAGTTGGAGAAAAGCGCAGCAGCTCGATAGGCGGCTAAGATCATTGACCAATACTCCGATCCAGCTGAGTCCACGCCTGTCACTCTATCCAGTTTTACCTTGGTTAGGGATTTCCTGTTCACTCAAATCTTTATAGACAATGCCAATCGACCAGGTGTCCTAGCACATAATGACGATGGAGGAATTTACAAACATCCGAAAGCAAGATGACTATTACCTCATAACAGTGAAGAAGCACAAAACTGCACATGTTCATGGACCAGCTCGTGTTGTATTGAGTGAAAAACTGAAGGCGTGGCTGTCAATATTCGTTGGCATAATGCGAGCCCATGTTACCACCCGAATGAATGGCCCAGTATTCATATCCTGGAACGGAAACCCTATGAATTCTGTGCACATCACTAAGGCAGTACAATCTGTCTTTAAAAAAGCTGGAGTGGATGTTAAAGTAACATCGACATCGTTTCGGAAAGCAGCAGTGACGAAAGTTAATGTCGATAAGCCAGAGATGAGTGCGAAATTGGCTAGCCTTATGGCTCACAACGAAGCGACGGCAAAGAGATATTATCTCCTGACAGAGAAATCCAAAACTTCCATAGAGGCTTCACGAAATCTTGGTCGCCTGATGCGAACTGATGACGAGTGTGGAGATAACATTGAGACTCCTTCATATGGCAGTTCATTTAGCTACGTTAAATACGAGAAATACAACGGGTCAAAGACAAGATTCTCTCCACGGGTACGCTATGAAAGCTTGTTTTCATACAACATAATTCATCGTAATTCACATGTCTTAATTCGTTGTAATTCGTTAATTGTTATGCGAAATCCGACATATGGAAACAGAACTACAATAAATACGTCATTTGAATTACGACGCGGAACCATGTATTTGTTTTATAAAAACCAGCCTTGAGTGGCTGACAATGCAAAGAATCCTTCCAGCCTCTCCCTACTTACAAAACTACTTCCCGCTACAATAACGATCCGTTATCGTGTATTATCAAAACCTTAAAGTGTTTTTTGTTATATATATTTTATTTATATTTGCAGATTCTGCGTAGAAGGATCGACTTGCTTTTTCCGGACAAAGAAGTCTATTAATGAAGTATGGTAAGTATATTCGTCATAAATAGACAGCTGGAATCTGATGCATTAGAGCTGTTTTCTTATTCAACTGTATATATATCGCAGAGTAGTGCGTATATTATTTTTCCTGGGCTCTCGGCTAGAGCTAAGGGCTTTGGAGGAATAAGAATGCAAAGGAATAACCGCTACGGTTCGCTACGATATACGGTGCAGTGGAAAACAGGCTTTATGTAACTAATCTTGATTTTATCACTTTTTAAATCATCTTGTATATTCCTGATTCACAGCGGACCGGTATTCCTCATCCTTCCCGCTGTGAATGCAACTTGGCTAGACTATATATGTTATGCCTTATTGATGGGATTTGATAAGGAATTTTTGCCTTATTTAAATTACAAAATCGGTGTACAACCTCGCGCTCGGCGGATAAAATGTATATGCGCGTCTTAGGATATGCTTAGTTAACGCCAAAAAAAAATTAGTATATTCATGGAAGAAGAAATGTCCCACAACACACGTTTTAATAGTGCATTATGCAAGTAAAGTGTATGCTTGTATAAAATTGTAAAACATTTTTCCTCATTACTAGTTTGATTTTGAATCTTAGATAGGACACGTGTTACTTCATTGATGTTAGAGAAAATATTTAGAAATCATTGTTGAGATTTGAATAAAATCCCTTGATGTATGCATGTGCAAAAAAAATGTGTACAACATTCTGGGGTCTTCCTGACGAGTGCAAAAATAATGTGTACAACATTCTGGGGTCTTCCTGAGGAGTGCAAAAATTAATGTGTACAACATTCTGGGGTCTTCCTGAAGAATGCAAAAATTAATGTGTACAACATTCTAGGGTCTTCCTGATGAGCGCAAAAATTAATGTGTACAACATTCTGGGGTCTTCCTGAGGAGTGCAAAAATTAATGTGTACAACATTCTGGGGTCTTCCTGAGGAGTGCAAAAATTAATGTGTACAACATTCTGGGGTCTTCCTGAGGAGTGCAAAAATTAATGTGTACAACATTCTGGGGTCTTCCTGAGGAGTGCAAAAATTAATGTGTACAACATTCTGGGGTCTTCCTGAGGAGTGCAAAAATTAATGTGTACAACATTCTGGGGTCTTCCTGAGGAGTGCAAAAATTAATGTGTACAACATTCTGGGGTCTTCCTGAGGAGTGCAAAAATTAATGTGTACAACATTCTGGGGTCTTCCTGAGGAATACAAAAATCAATGTGTACAACATTCTGGGGTCTTCCTGAGGAATACAAAAATCAATGTGTACAACATTCTGGGGTCTTCCTGAGGAATACAAAAATTAATGTGTACAACATTCTGGGGTCTTCCTGAGGAGTGCAAAGATTAATGTGTACAACATTCTGGGGTCTTCCTGAGGAATACAAAAATCAATGTGTACAACATTCTGGGGTCTTCCTGAGGAATACAAAAATAAATGTGTACAACATTCTGGGGTCTTCCTGAGGAGTGCAAAGATTAATGTGTACAACATTCTGGGGTCTTCCTGAGGAATACAAAAATTAATGTGTACAACATTCTGGGGTCTTCCTGAGGAGTGCAGAAATTAATGTGTACAACATTCTGGGGTCTTCCTGAGGAGTGCAAAAATTAATGTGTACAACATTCTGGGGTCTTCCTGAGGAGTGCAAAAATTAATGTGTACAACATTCTGGGTCTTCCTGAGGAGTGCAGAAATTAATGTGTACAACATTCTGGGGTCTTCCTGAGGAGTGCAAAAATTAATGTGTACAACATTCTGGGGTCTTCCTGAGGAGTGCAAAAATTAATGTGTACAACATTCTGGGGTCTTCCTGAGGAGTGCAAAAATTAATATGTTCAACATTCTGGGGTCTTCCTGAGGAGTGCAAAAATTAATATGTTCAACATTCTGGGGTCTTCCTGAGGAGTGCAAAAATTAATGTGTACAACATTCTGGGGTCTTCCTGAGGAGTGCAGAAATTAATGTGTACAACATTCTGGGGTCTTCCTGAGGAGTGCAAAAATTAATGTGTACAACATTCTGGGGTCTTCCTGAGGAGTGCAAAAATTAATGTGTACAACATTCTGGGGTCTTCCTGATGAGTGCAAAAGTTTTTTACAACATTCTGGGGTCTTCCTGAGTAGTGCAAAAATGTGTACAACATTCTGCGGTCTTCTGAGGAGTGCAAAAATGTGTACAACATTCTGGGGTCTTCCGGAGGAGTGCAAAAATGTGTACAATATTCTGGGGTCTTCCGGAGGAGTGCAAAAATGTGTACAATATTCTGGGAGAGATTCTGGGGTCTTCCTGAGGAGGTATATATGCATAAGTTTTCGTCCCATTCTTACAACGCTTTTCTCGGCTCCTCGAATGTGTACATCATTCTGGGTCTTCCAGGGGATTTTTCGTACTTTTAGTTTGTATTTACGTTTGATACTTTTTATCAAAAGCACATTCCCACTTAATAGCAGTAAGGTTTGAGAAATCAAATAATTACAAAGTCGAGCTATGCCATCCATGCAATCCCCATTTATTGCGGTATGTATCAATTATTAATTTGTACCAACCTTGAATCCCTGTTTTAAATGTATTTAAATTTACTTTTTAGAATATTTATGGAAGACGAAATCCGAATTGCAATTCTCTAATGAATACATTTGTCATTGGAATATGGGTAAGTGATGCTCATAAATAAACTTTCAGTCTTCAAGCAGGCCACTCTCCCGTCGGATTTATTGAAAAATGACCAGCACATACATATATCAGATGGGATTCAGCAAATATAGGGTAGGGTCGCAGCTCCTCGCAAGAACGATTTTCATGGGCTAAACTTTACAATACATTTCTGTTTCAACCAATAGCATAGCTTCGTTCTTTAGAAAGCATAGAAAAGCATTATCCAATTGGACGAAAGCTTCCGAGCTCTGCGTATTGAAGCAAAATATGTAAAGATTTCCTGCGCGTGTTATTTTCTTCATCATTGATCGAGTCATTATCAAAGTAGTTTTCCTGAATAGAAATCGCGATATGCTCAATATCATATTTATAATTCACCCTTAACAAGGGCATGCAAGTTCTCATAACATACCTCAGACTTGAAATTAAAATTCCAATTTACAATTGGTAGAAAAACGAACCCTTTTTTCACAGAATTTTAGAATTATTCCAGTGCCGAGTTATATGGAATAAAGAAAAGGGTATGCAGTCTTGACGAGGAACTGCCTTCTCATTGGTTGATTTTTGATGAAAAACGGCTTCTGAGAGCTCTGCATCATTTTCCGCCTTTATTATCTATAGTCACCAATTTTGTCGAAGGTCGCCTTACAATTTAACATGAAATATTGCTGTGCCTTCTATAAATGGCCAGCAATACAATATGCACACGCAACCAAAGGAATGCACCCGATTAGGTTAAATAAATGCCGCTATTCTATTTCTCTTTTAAAAACCCGCTTAGACCAGTTCATGCCCCTTGCTTCAACGTTTTAGGTGCAAAGTAATACGGAAAGATGCAATTTAGGTGCCATAGAGGAGTGAAGTTAGGTTTTGCTATAAAAATTTAAGTTTAAAAAAGAGAAAGTTATCAAGAGTTATTAAGGAATATTTAGGTAGTTTAGCTATATTAAAACGAACCATGTTTACTCGACAAAATGCATGTGTGATAGACAGTAAAAAGACACTGCATGTTAAGAATTAAAGTTTTTATTGTCAATAAAAATATATCTCCATGAAGGTCTACCTCACTGCTCAGTCCCCACATTGTTTACATCGAATCTTGAAAAGTCCACACAGTGAATACACTAGAAAACTACTGTCCCCACATTGTTTACACACGGCGCGTCCCCGTTATGATGATTTCATGTTTCTTGACACAGGTCCCCAGAGGGGCATAAAATTTTCTAGTCCACAGGATGACTGGCAAACAGGTATTAATGATCATGCAATTGTATAACAAGACGTTCTCAATTGCATTTTATGTATATATGCTAACGCGAGTAAAATGGAGTCGGATATAAATGCGCACTGCAATATAATCCTTTAGATTACTTGCCATGGCCGGTGGAATCGAGTTGGGCCACGATCATCCAATCATTCCGAATAAACATGACATGAAAGGTTGCCAGACCTTTAAAATGGCTTGGCTGAGGTTAGAGTAGTTGTTAGCTTAGTGGTTACAATTTAATAGGATGCATTTACTCACATTGAAACAACAATTGTTTGCAAACTTTTCTGACATTTGTCAAAAAATATGTGGGTAGATGCTACCTTGAAATATATATATATATAATTATATGATATAAAAAGTTTTCGCAAGACAAAATAGATTGATGCTTTGATGCATGCCTTAATCATCTGTCTGGGGAAATCTTGATTAGTTAATTTTATTGTAAGCAGGAGGCACAAATTGTGTCACAAGTAGATGTCTCGAAGATGTTAAGGATCGGGTGTTTCTTAAAATGGTGAGTATAAACTCCCCTGTGCATGCATTTGGCATTGTCGTTTCTATATGGGCGGCAGCATTGCTATAAGCTTTGCAGAAAAAAATTATTTGCACTCTTTGTGATTTAAAACTCGGTTTCTATATGGGCCGTGTGCTATTGCTATATGCTTTAGTAAAAATAATGTGCACTTTTGTCTTGCTGCCGGGGTTGAGTATTAAGTTGCTTTGCAGGGCGGATTTTCGGACCTTTAGGATTGCGGATTGCCGCGGTCGTTTGAAATGAAGATTTCGAAATTATCCCACTAATTATGCGTTCTATTTCTTTAGGTCACTATTGTTAGGCTCATGCAGTTAGCTTAGGCATTTTTACACAGTTAACTATGTAGATGGTCGAATATATGGGGAGAATGAATATAGTGACCACCAATAATTTAGTTAGATCACAAGTATTAATTAGCGACTTGTTATACTGGTTAGAAATCATAACACATGCATATGTGATCGTATGGTCACAAAATATGTAACTAATATGAAAAAATATGGCGGCAGAAATAGCGACATTGCAGCTTTAGCTTTGCGAAGAAAATATAGCGATGGTGCATGCAATCGACAAAATAGATTATTGTCAAATTTTTAAAATATTCTTAAGGTAATGATGCCCTTAGTTGCTAGTGACTTGCTACTGACAGTACTGTGTATAGGCGACATTCCGCGACAAGCTTGACCGCGGCTAAAGCTAGGCTACTGGTGTTGCTGAACGGAACATATTGTGTGCACTAGGTAAATATCCAAGCCTATATTTTAAATATTTTATTACCGCGCAATGCATTGCTGAAATTGAAATGTGGATTCATGTGTATAAATGGTGTGGATATTTAATGTAGTATTTATACCAAATAAGTTTTGACAGCATGCAAGCACACGTTACTACGCTGGTTCGCATACAAACGAACTTTGCGTATGCGATATTCTGTATTAATGTTTGGTTATCATCTGTAAACAACTTGATCCTTGCGCTAATTAATTTAATCGTTTGGGCGTCAAAGAGTATAAACAAAAGTGTACAATGGAATCTCTTGTGTTTAGTTTAACATAAAGTATGTATCCAGTAGCTGAAACTCAACCAAACTGAGACGGCAATTTTTGTTTTACTGTCGGTTTACAGCCGTGTTAATAAAACGGATGCATGCTGTATCGCCTGTATGTCTTGTTTATATGTCTTTAACCACTCATACATAGAGTTTGTTCGTGGAAAAATTTACAAAACCTGTAACGATGTTGCAAATGAACACGCGCTGAATATTTTGATGGGTATAGTTGCAGATGATGCATTAATTTGAAATAACGATGATAATATATACTAATAACTGAAGGCTTTCTACGATTAACCCGAATTTTGATGCAAAACGCGAATGTATATATGTATATAAGTATAAAATAATGGGATTTAGGTAGTATAGCTAATAATTTTAGTTAAACATTCAAATGAAGGTATAGCTATTTATGTACACACATACTTGGAACAACACATGTTACTTGTTTGAAAATATTTCCTATTCTTTTAATTAGATAAATTAGTCTAATATCTTGCGTCAAATTATACGCGCAACGGGCGTTCAGACAAATTCGTTAAAACCGTTCATAAACATAAATCGTTCAAACGGCTTCAGATTGAACGTTTATTATCCGTTCGTATTCTCGACTTTAAACGTTTACATTTTAGCTGAATTCGTCAAAACGTTTTCTGGGTTCGTTGAAACGTTATTACAGGATCATTCACTACCGTTCGTTATCCGTTCGTTTTGCCGTTTCAACGAAATATCGTAACGTACGTTTTCCCGTGGAAGGTCACATATCGTATGGGCGTTGTATTCGTATACAAATAATAAAAATGTGTACGTATACGACTATAGATTTGCAGTGTTGCAGAGGAATGTTCTAAGGGAACATTTATTCCCCAATGTTTAATCGAATATTTGTCCATATTCGGGTGTTAAGATGCCCATGCAGTCAGCAATCGGGCCATCGTGCCTAATAGGTCATATAAGGCCATATAAGTCCCAAACGGGCCTATGAGCACATGCTCATAAATGCTTATGAGCAGATGCTCATCCGCTCAATGAGATATTTTCAGGCCCAAACTCCTCAAAGGGAGAAAAAAGGGGGGTGTGGCGAATGCGAAAATGTGTGCATTTTTAGAGCGAATCGAAATATATATTGGTGTTATGGACAACGCGATGCTTGAAGCATAAATTAAGACACGTATTAACGCTTGTAACAATGTAATTAAGTAAGAACAATTTTACAAATATTTTAAACATATTGTCCGGGCACTACACTGTTTTCTTGTTTAGATCGTTTGACTTTTTCTTCCGTAAGCAAGAGTTTGCATTGAAAGCCCGGACTTGTCCGGGTTAGGACGCCTAGTCATGCAGCAATCGGGCCATCGGCCTAATAGTGCCATATAAGGCCATATAGGGCCCAAACGGGCCTAATAAAATACCTGACTTACGAAAAAAATGAGCCAATTATTATTAGGAATTGTTGAGCAATCATCTAAATATGCGTCGCACTCGTAGGAGCTGTCCTGTGTTTAGCTGTGGTAGTACAAATTTAGCAAGGTTAGCAATTCATCTCGACCAAGTACACGATATGGGCACCGAGGAACGCTAAAGATGGTTAAAGTGGAGTAAGAAAGGAATATGTGTACCTCGACAGAGTAAAGAACCAAAGGAATTCGATATGGAGGAGTGTCTTGAAAATTTATTAGAGCGCGATGGAGAGAAATTTATTATCAAGAAGAGATGGAGAGAAACTTTAATGTTTACCTAAGCACTGCAAACGAACAACCTCTATCTTAGGGGGAAACGAAGAAAGTACATAAGGGATTGCTAACATTTTAGTTTGTGTGAATGTACTGGACTAGGAAAAAGTACCGTTGAGCAGATTAGCACATCCTCATAACTACACATGAGCAGACATCTGCTCATAAAACTGCGTTGCTGCTCGATAACAAGGCATTTACACACTTCTAGTGCTAAGGGGATGAGCTGCCAATTTTGCAGAAGATATTTCAGCCGCAGTACAATCAGCGCAGACCCGAACGGGAGAATTGCCTACTACGAGAACAAGAAAGAAACATGTCTCAAACAGACTCGGACAGTCAAGAAAGTGATTTCCAAGATGATGTCTCGACCACTTCCACTCAGCAATCTGGAAGTTCGACGACAACGGACTCAGAATGTGAAGAAGAATTGGATCCCTGGATGCCGTTAATAGAAGAAGCATAACATAGAAGTAACACAGTATTCGAGGAAATGAAAGAAAGCCTTATAAACAGTGGTTTTGATGAGCACTATGCTAAAAAGAAAGCTTACTTCAATGCCATGCTAGACTCCAGGAAGAATTAGAAAATATCTATTTAAAGCGCCATTTGTGGATGAGACAACTGAAGAAAGATCCGGTACATAAGAAAATATGTTTATTACAAATGATGATTTTGACCAAGAAGAAGCAATAGAAGGTGCCGTTGATAAGAGAAAGTTTCTTATTAAGAAGTTTTTAAACGATGTGAACATGTGAAGGAAAACAAAGGCAGAGATGATGATGACGACGACGATGATATGTTCTAATATCCTGAACCAGCTTTGGTCATACCAAAATGACCCACTCGTGTCAGGTTTTATTGTCTCCTTTACCAAGCCGTCTACCCTTAAGTACACGGTTAAAACGGAGCTGTTGGAAGAACGCGATTGTATTATCAAGAATCAAATAGGTTAAAAGGTCTTAATTTCGAGTGGTATTATACACACTTCAAATTCAAGCCAGGAACAGTGGATGGAAAAATGAGTCAAATATACGTTCTCAATGGCAAGGGCATTTCACCGGCATCGCAAAAGCGTAGGTTCGATTCTTGCCATGATCTGTTCAAAAACAACACACGAGTCAGAACGCGAGTGAACACGAATGAACACCAGTGGACACGAGTCAGAATACGACTCAAGAAATATGAACGCTTGTGAACACCAGTTAAAAAATCATCAACACGAATGAACACGAGTGAACACGGGTCAAAAAATCATGAACACGAACCAAAGATCACGAACACGAGTGAACACGAATAAAAAATTATGAACACGAATGAACACGAGTCAAAAAATCATGAACACGAACCAAAGATCACGAACACGAGTGAACAGGAATCAAAAAATTATGAACACGAACGAAAGCTCACGAACAGAAGTGGAAATCGCATGAAAACGTGGAAATCGCAAGAAACATGCCAGCCCCA